AATATTTCATTTTGTTATTTTATTGTTGATTTTAAGTTAACAAATTTAGTTCCATAAAAATCTTATAAATGAAAAAAAATTGATTACTTGCTACGATTTAGTAGCTCAAATTTTGAAATTTGCCTCAGGCCTCGTGAAACGGCCCTGAAAGTTGGTGGGCTAAGGTTGGTTTTTTCTTTCATCATCATCATTTGGTGGGCTAAGGTTGCAGGTTTTTTCTTTCATTATTATTATTATTATGATCATCATCATCATCTTTTGTGGAAAGTATTGAAGAAGGAGAAATGGTGAGGACATTGTAGTTTATTTGTGGGGTTGAGAGGGTGGGGCCACTTTTCTTGCAAGTAAGGCATCTGATTTAATTGATCACTCGGCTTGGCTTGCTCTTGAGACAAGCTACGGGTGGGAGCTAATAAGCAAAAAATTCGTGTGAGTCGCTCGTCCACTCGTACGAGTTGGTTCACGAGCTTGTCGGCTCGAATGCAAGGCTGCTCACTTTATTGGATCAAAAGTGCAATTTTTGACAACAAAAAAATATTTCCTTGTAACGAGTCGACTTGTCCCACAATCAAGCAAGAGTCAGCTCGGATAGTGGGCTGAACCGACCCCGATGGGAAAGAAAAACACTTTCAAAAAATTGGACATGCGATTTTATCATCATGATACTCAAAAGATAGAAATTTGCGATAAATTGTAAGGAAGAAAATTATGGTTTTTGTCTGAAAATATTGCAAGTACCTACATGATATGTGATGAGGGCATGTGGAGTTTAAATTCCAAATTCGTTCTTCAATAACGTATATTGGTTTATTAAGAAGGGAAAAATTCACAACTCAAACTTTATCTATCCCAAAATAAAAAATCAGGCCCTAAAATAAAAAATCAGGTTTTTCATGAATTAATTAATTATATTTCACAATTATTATATTAAATTAAATATTTAACTGTAATATAATATAATTAACCCACCCCACCCCACCTCCATCACCACCACCGCTACTCCGGTGACTGATATACGGCTGCGCTTAATTTNCCACCCCACCTCCCCTTCCGGAGACCACTCATGTGACCGGCGAGCACTCCGACGACTGTTCTCCAATCACAGATCAAAAATTTTTTAGGTTACAGATTATTTCGAGGTCACAGATCTAAAATTTTTAGGTCACAATTTTTTTATCGGTCACAAATCAAAAATTTTGTAGGTCACAGAATATTTCGAGGTCGCAAATCGACCAAATAGTGGGTCACTGATCACAGATCACAGGTTGACCAAATAGATGGTCACAGACACTTTGACCTATTCGCTGCACCTATCCTCCAATCCCAATACACCAACAATACTTTGTCACAGGTCACAAAACGACCAAATAGTTTGTCACATATACTCCGTCCCATTCACCGCCGACCCTAATCCCTAAAACACCCACCAACAATAACACCACCAACCATCACCGTTGCCTCCTGAACAACACCACCATCATCACCCCATCACAACACCACCGCAACCAAGGCCATAATAATAACAAAAAACAATCGTTCTATCGTCGCCTGCACCACCACACAGCATCCCACAACCACACCCATAGCAAATCGGGAGAATTTCAAAAATAGCCGGGTCAAATGACCCATTTGGGTTTTTCGTCTAAAAGTCAATTTTGCCCTTAATGAAATGTTTTTTT